CACCTCAGCAGTGCCACAAACTGATCACCTCCATGCCACGCCGAATTGAGGCAGTAATTAAAGCAAAAGGAGCCCCTACCAAGTATTGAGTACATGTACAGTAAATGAACATACTTTCCAGAAGGCCAACAATTCACTAAAAAAAGTTTTTTTTTATTGGTCTTATGAAGTATTCTAATTTGTTGAGATAGTGAATTTGTTGGCAAATGTTAAATGTCAAAAAAGAACCAAAGACTTAAACTACTTCAGTCTGTGTGCATTGAATTTATTTATATACACAATTTTTTATATACACGACAATTTATATACACGAGTTTCACAATTTGAGTTGAATTACTGAAATAAATGAACTTTTCCACGACATTCTAATTTATTGAGATGCACCTGTATATTCCTTTTTATGTAAGCCTATAGTTTTTCTGTTTTCTCCGTTCACAGAAGCGCTGCAGGTGCGTGTGATCTGTTGAATCCATCTTACACTATCCTCGGATAAACTCTAACGCCAGTGCATTGCCATTGCGACTTACCTATGATGAGTTCACAGCTGAGCAGTCATTTCACTCATTGGCTTCAGCATCACATTTGCATAGGCTGTACTACTAGAATTCGTGATTGGTTGACAGCAAATTTCAAATATTAAATGGAACGATAAAATAACGTTATTAACTGGAGGCCCTGGAGAATGGTGCAGGACTGGGACACGGGGAATACCTCCAGGGTGGATAAGGCAGTCCAGGGTGCCATGGCGGCACAGGGAGCTCAGGGGCTATGGCGGAGCAGGGAGCTTGGGGCGCCATGGCCAAGCAGGCAGACTAGGAAGCCATGGCGGAGCAAGCAGTTCAGGAAGCCAAGGCAGAGCAGGGAACTCAGAAGGCCATGACTGGACGGCCTTCATGGCCTTGCCCTCGCTACTCGGCCCGGCCACTACAGCTGGGAACTCAGGACACCGTGGCCGGATGGCCTCTGTGGCCTCGCCACTCGGCCCGGCCACTACGGACGGACCCATACTACCCCCCCCCTAAAAAATCCTTGGGGAGAATATAGTCTTTAGAGGCCCTCCATAGGCCAAACTCGGGAACAGTGACCCTCCCTGGGCTAGACTTGGGGACTGGAGCCCTCCTTGGGCTCGACATGGGAACTGCAGCCCTTTCTGTGCTACACTCGGGGACTGGAATCTTCTCTGGGCTAAAGTCGGGGACTGGAGCCCTCACTGGGCTAAACTCAGGGACTGGAGCCCTCACTGGGCTAAACTCGGGGACAGGAGCCCTC